AAGTTATAAACTTTATTTTAATATAAAAACAAAAATTATTCATTAAGAAAATCAAAACTTTTAATATAGAAAGAAAAGTTCAATTTTTACTATGTTTTATTAATAAATTTGAACACGTGATTCCATAATTACGTTAGCCACTGTAAGTTAAAAAATAATAATACTAAATCAATTAGTAATTTATCAGAAAAAATTATCAAATTATCAAAAGAATAATTATATAATAAGAAATATTATCAAAAAAAAAATATAAAAAAAATATTATTAATAGAATTTTTTCTAATAATAATATAAATAATATAATCTAATAATTATAATTATAATAATAATTATAATTATAATATTATTATTTATAATAAATATTATAATAATATATAATAATTATTAGTATTTATTATAACTTTTATATATTTATAATTTATATGAATATATGATAATTTTAAAAAAATAAAATTTAAAGCTTTATTTTTGAATAATAACTTTTAATAAGATTTTAGATACTTTGTATTTCAGAAAATAAATTTAATAAATTGTTAAATATTCTTTTAACATTAATAATTTGTAATTTTTATATTAGTATTTATAAAAATTTGACTTTAATTGATAGTAATTTATAATATAAATAATTAATATTATTTACATATTTATTTAAATTTAAATTAAATTTTGAGTATATTAAGTTTTTCTTATTCAATAAAAAAATATTCAAAGTAAAAAGTAAATTTATTTTCTTAAAATATTATTAAAATATTAAAAAGATAGCTAAAATTTATTTGTAATTCAATATTTAAAAATTATTAAATTTTATATTTATTGATACTTCAAAAATTAAAAAGTATTATTTTTATTGGTATTATAACTATTATAATTAGTATTTTTATATATCAAACTAAATTAAACTTTGTTTAAATTCAAGTTTGATTCAAAATTCAAATTAATTTTGAATTAAATTTTGACTTGAGTTCAAAAAGATTTAAAGTTTGAATTAAACTTGAATTAAATTATTATATAAGTTTGAATTTAATTCAAATTAGAATTAAGATTAATATATAGTATTATTATATATTTTTTATTAATTATAAAATTAGCTAATTAATATAAATAAAATTAAGAGAAAAGATTAAACAAAGAATAAAATATATTTAAATTCATATTAATTTTATAATATAAAGAGAAATAAATAAGATTCTATTTTAAATAAATAATATTTTAATTTTTTATATTAGTATTATATATTTCAAAGCTAAGTAAATAATATTATCAAAATAATAAATATTATCAAAATAATAAAGATTTTTTTATTTTATTTATTTAGTATTTTAATAATATTTTGATTAACTTAATATAAGTCAAAGTTACTAATATATAAAATATTATTTATTATATTATTTATTCTCAAGTTTCAATATATTGAATTAAGACTTAGTTATTATTTATACATATTTATATTTTTTTACAAATAATTTAAAAATAAAAAAAATATAAAAGATAAATATAATAACTAATAAAATTATGAAATTATACATATAATTTTATTAATAAAATATAGTAAAAATTAAAATTTTTGTCTTATATAAATATTTTTAATTTTATTAATAAATATTTTTTATTTTTATATTAAATAAAGATTATAAGTTATAGTTTAACATATATATTTTCTGAATTTTCTAGATATTTTCTGATAAAGTATTTTCAATTGCAAATTTGTTAAAAAAATTTTTTATAATTAAAATATAAAATTAATTATAAAAAATTTTTGCAATAACTTTGTAATAGAATAATTTTGTCAGAAAAAATTTAAAAAATTCAGAATATTTATACAAGACAAAAATTTTAATTTTTACTATATTTTATTAATAAAATTGCATGTATAATTTTATAATTCTATTACTTACTATATGTTAATTAAAAATAAAAGTTTAATTTACTAAATATAAAAAATAAAATAAAAAATAAATAAATAAAAAAATAAAAATAATAAATAAATAAATTAAATAGAATAATATATAATAATAAATAAATTAATAATATAAAAAAGCACAAAAATATAAATAAATAAGAAAAATATAAAAATAAAAATAAAAAATAGAAAAATAAATAAATATTTATTTATATAATAGTTAATAATATAAGAAATTATTAAAAAAATATTCTAAATTTTTTATATAATTTTTATAATTTTATAATTTGTTTAAATTATAAATAAAATTAATAATCTTTATAATATAAATCTAATAATAATTTCTAATTTCTATTAAAAAATAAATATATATTATAATATTATTAAAATAAATTAAAATTATAATAATTAATAATATTTTTTTTAAATCTATAACTTTTTAAATATTTATTTTAAATATTAATTTATAAGTTTATTAAAATATTTTTAAATATTTATTTGAATTTAAATTGAACTTTTGATCAGATTTGAAACTTGTTTAAATTTAAACTAAACTTAAATTAAACTTTTAATTGAATTTGAATTTTTGAACCAGATTTTTGATCAGATTTAAAGCTTTTTGCAAGTTAACTTGCAAGTCAAATATAGAAATAACAAATAGATATTTTGGCTTGCGAGTTTTTTTATATAAAATTTATCAATAAATAAATTAATATAAAGTGTAACAAATAGAAATTTTAGCTTGCAAGTTAACTTATAGGAACTTTAATTAAATTTGAATTTGGTTCAAGCTTGAACTGAATCAGACTCAAATTGAACCAGCTTTTTTTTGGAATTTTATTTATAACTATTATTATATCAGTTTTTTAAATACAAAATAAAATATTATTTAAAAAATTTATCAAAAAACTATTATATATAATAAAAAAATATAAATAAAAATATTTCTTTAATTTTGTTAAAATTTTATCAGATTATAAAATATCTATAAATAAATTAATATAATTACAAATTATTTTAATAATAAAAGTTATTAATAAATTCTTAAATATAACTATAATTAATTATATTTTGATTATTTTACTTAGATTTGTATTAAATAATTATTATTTGATTTTAGATTATTTTAATTTTATAAGAATTAAATCTTTTTATGATGGTAAAAAGATTTAAAAAAATTAAAACAAAGAAATAATTATTAAAATTCAGTCTAATATAAATAAAAATTATAATATTAATATAAATAATTGATATTTGCTTTGCTTACTTATATAATCATTATTTTATTTGCAAGTATTTTGTAATAATATTAATTTTTAATTAATTTTCACAAAGATAATCTATTAACATAATTATTCTTTGCTTATTTTTGAAAAAGAAGAAATACCAATAATGAATTCTGAAAATAATTCTTGATTTAGATATATACAAACTATAATAAAGAAATTTGTAAAAAAAAGCTCTAGTTTTATCAACTTATAAAACATATCAATAATAACAAGAAACAACTTGATGAAAAAAAGATGAGTAATTATAGAAAAATAATGAACATCGTATTAGAATTATATGAGCTAAAAATAGATAATGAATGTATACAGGTTCATAACCAACATGAAATTCAAAATTAAACAAACTTGCATTTTGGTTATATTAAATGTTCAAAGTATATGTTTTATTATTAAATATTAAAGTTTATCATTCTATAAATCTTGGTATTAAATTTGATTGGCTAAGGATAATACACGTGATTCGTCACCATAAAAATATCACTTCGATTTCCGGAGTATTCGAGTTCGAATAGATCGAACTCACGTGACTTATTACTTTTTTCGCCATGGCTAGGATACTATAATATTGCAAAGCCATTCCGTTAAATCGAGGTTTGACTGTACTATAATTTGAAAATAAATAAAGGTTGGAAAGTAAAGTCTAGTCATGACTAAGCATGACGTCGCCATCAGCAGGCTTAAAATATATAGTGATTTATATATTATCAATTAAAATTTATAATTTAAAGAAAATGACAAACTATTTGATTTTCTCATATATGATTTAAAGTTAAATTTGGCGCTAATTTACATAACACGATGTTTCTTTTTTATTGTGAAAGACCCACCTTTTCAAGCATTATAAAAACAAGCCTTTATGCAGTGATTTCACAATAAATAATAAATTATTATCTTATCTCTCACAAAATAAAATAGAATAAATAGAAGGGAAATGGCCTCAAAAATCCCGTCTCTTCTCTTTTTCTCTTTTTATTTATTAACGATTTTAGCAGTTACTAATTACGCCATCGCGAATCAGATTGTATCCGAAAACAATGCTATTTTCGAGCACCAACCTAAAAATCCCATGCAACAGAAGGATGAAATTTCATCAATTCTTTACTCTTTTCTTGACGAATATCCAAATATGAGTAACAATGATGGTGCTACCTCTATTGAGCCGTCAACATCTGCCTTTCCTGTTCGTCGTCGATTCTACGGAATCCCTAGATACACTACTCGTCGATATTTCACCTATCGTGGATTCATCCCCTTTAGAAATTATGTACATCGTCGTTATCTTCTCTATGGAAGAGCAGGAATCTATCCGATTTGGATTTCACCATATAATTATTGCCGTTTCAATCCTTTCTATTTAACCAATTTTTGCCATTTTTATTTTGGGAATTTCTAACTTATTTATAGTATTATTATTATAGTAAATAAATGTAATTTGCTGGCAGAATAAACATATATATTATTTTCTAATCACAGTTAAGCAACAATTTTATTTAGCGAATTTATTCATTTTAAAATGTAGATTACGTATCAATAATGCATCAGTTTTAAATCGATGAATCAATAAAAGCAAATAAAACATCGTAACATTCATTCAAGTCATAAAAAATGGTTCACGCAATGTCTTTTTTAATTATGCTACTATTGTTCATAGTGGCAATTGAGTTTCTAATAGTAGCAAATCTGGACATGAATATCATTCTCATATCTATAAGTGCGATGCTGTTCGTTTCATTCACGATAATGCTTAGGTTTGTGGTGAAGATATATAAAAAAAACAATAAAATGAATGATGACGATCAATTAGCTCAGGCACGTTTATTTCTGTTTATGAATGATTGATGGATTCCAAAAAACGACAATTTTCTTTTTAATATTGGAACATTTAAAACTTTAACAGATTGCAATTTCTATCTGGTCTAGAGATCAATAACCGTCTCAATTGATGGCGTCGGAATAATAAGGTTTTTTATTTCTCTATTTACAATAACAAAATACAATTATTTTTGAATAGGTTTACAGATTTTTCCCATTCTATTTTGAATACTCGCGTTTTATATTTCTCATTAATTATTTTCTCTTACGTAGATTGCAAATAACATACCGTGTATAAATGCTACCACGCAAGATCATAGGGTTCTGGACTTTGCTTGTGCCAATGATTAGAAAGTGACGTTGCTTTTTCTCATGATTATTGCTACTGTTTCGAATTATCATCCATTAAAGGGGAAATTTGGTGTTGAGTAAGTGTCGATTATGAGGAACGATAAAATATATAGAAATGTGTAAATTTTAAAAGTTCATGTTTTTATTTGCAAAAGATTTATTTGAACAAAAATAACTTCAAAGTCAATTTTTTTCTTAAAATTTTCTTTGAGATAAAAAAGTATAATAATCAAAGAATTTCTCTACTCTTTATTTGTTATCACATATCGCTTATTTTATCATAGTAAACGAATTCAATGGCATAAAACTGTACGAACCATTTGATTTCTAAAATCAGAAAAATCATCCTTTGTTTCCTAATCTTTGTTTCAAGGAGTTGCAAAATATAACTGGTATTGATTGACTTTTTCTTGTGTGGACAATAATGCAATTTACTGCCATGAAACGACTCGCAGTACAAAAATAATTCGGAAGTGATGAGTCTATGACTCGAAGCAAAGCTTCCTCGCTCTTGACCGAATCTTAATAATTATCACCATTTCTACTTACATTGTACTATTTCCATTACTCCCATTAGTATCGATATCATTTTCTAAACTCGGAGGAGCTCTTTGCCGAAGTTGAGTCACGAGAGCGCTCCTTTGATTATTTGATTAGCAAAAAATACTTGCCGTCCCAACATAGGAAGTCGGTGGACTATGATCCATCCGACTTTTCTCTCATTTTGCTTGATGGTTTATGTGCCGAATTACATTTCAAGATAAATGAGCGAAATCAGTTGCAACTAGATTGAGGCATAGCCTCGCTCTTAAAGGCCTGATTTGCAATAACGTTACTCTTTTGCCCTGCCTCTTCGTACTACAATATCGTGATAACTGGCAAATTATTATTGACCCAAGTTTTAGTTACCATTGGCGCTATTCATTTGCACTTCCATGTTCCTGTCGGTTTAGCATAGATATTACAAAAAAGAGAACACTGTTTTTACTTCTTAGACACATAAAAATGCCATAATATCACATACCCGTCCTGCTTCTACCATTGTTATTTTGCGAAAGATAATCACAAAGTAAAAACCGCGCAAAATCATGATTATTGCGTATGGGTTTTGTATGTATGCTCCTGTGATATGCGTGTAGTAGGGATTTTATACGGTTTATTTTGTATTAACTAACTTAATTAAATTTGAAAATAAGTTACTTATATAGAAAGTTTATTATAAATTTTAGATTAAGTTTGATTGGAAGCTTAAAAGAATCTAATTATGCCAAATATTGGCAATTTCAACAAGATATAAATTACTAGTGTGTAATGTATTCGATTTAAAGATTGGAAAGTCTTAGAAATATCGTAATGGCTAACTCACTTTCCATTCCAGAGTTGGTTGAAAAGATTATTAGTCGTCTCAGCAATAATGATCTCGCACAGGTAAAAGAGGTAGGTTTTACTCACATTTGACTTGTTAAACCTTTGGATAAACTTCCACATTTTTCAAAATCCAGGGTACCTCTAATAGCTACAAAAAACTATATGAAAAAATGAAAGTTTGTCTAATGGTTTAACAGAATCCGAGTGTGTTAACATAAGTAAACCTTTTTTTCTATCTGTGTCGGTGCATGCTATAAAGTGAGTCGTTTGTGGTATGGTGAAGCAAACCGAATTCTTCTGAATTTGGAGGAAAAATTTTACCACGAAGAACTTCGGTTAAGGCAAAATGCCTTTGATACGACTTGCAAGAATCTCGATACTGTGCTATCCGATGACTTTGCATTTGAGGATGATGTACAAAATTATCTCGAAAAATTTAGATACGGAATCGATTGTGATCTGGACAAGCTTGAATCCTTGGGGTCACGGATTCCTCTCCCTATACAGTGACTCACACAAGAAATGGAACACGAGATCAAAACTTTCTAAAATTTTTATCTTCATCAATATTATTCAAAACAAAATAAAAAAGTACTCATTTTGAATTACAAGAACTCTAGTATGTTTTAAAAATATTTTGACAACAGATTATTTTAGTCAATTCTGTAAAACTAGATAATTTAAATCAAAATTTTTAGTTAGTAAATTTCTCACATTGAAGAACTTTTTTTCTATGATGGATCCAAATTTGGACCACTAATTAAAAATGTTATACTCTACAAAATCCGCCTATGTACCAATTTTCACAAAAACTGGCTCAAA